CTGGGTGTCCTCTGCACAGCTACGCCGGCGCCCGCTCGCCTGCTCACCCCGCGCTGCTGCCTTCCTCCTGCCACCACCCCCCGGGGGCAATTACTCCTTTGGTACTAAGGCTGTTCTAAGTGTTCATAAAATAACCCCACAGCCTCAAAACCCAGCCTGGCACATGGAGCTGGAGCTCCCTTGCAGATCTGGGTCTGGTTTCTCCTCCTCTGACCCTGGGTATGTTTTGGTCCATCGTCCCTGGCCCATCTTGGTAAGGTCCACATGGCGCGGTGGGGTAGAGCGGCATTTGGGTGTCCCCGTGCCACCCGTCAGGGAATATAAACCCTGGCTGGGGTGATGCTGGTGTGAGCGGCATCGCTGCCCAGCCCCGGGCGTTTGAAGCTCTTTGCAGAAGGTCTGAGCCAGCTGAGTCGTGGCGCTCGCCCTTGGGATGCTGAGCGCAGGAGGGGATGGATGGGTGGCAGGGGAGGGGAGTGGGTGCTCTGGGGGAGATTTGCTCATCCCCTGCCCCTAAAAACAGCAGGCCTGAGGCTGCTCTTGCTGGTGGTTGTTTCCCCCCTTCTGTTCTTGGCTCCCGGCCTCCTCGGTTGGTTTCTGTTGGGGCTGGAATTGAAAAGGGCGTTTAAAAAAAAAAAAAAAAAGATAAATAAAAACAGCACAGACATGTTTGCTGTTGTTTCTAATTGGGAATTAAACCCTGAGATTAGACCAGAGGCGAGGATGTGCAGCGCCTTGGGCTCTGCGGGACGCATCGAACACCCCCCGGTAGCTGGCGTGCACCCACCACGGGGAGCCCCGGAGCCCCCCACCCCGGGGTCAGCGGGGATGCAGGGGGGACGAGGTCTGGGCTGCATGGGAGCCTGGATGTGTGGGTTTAGGTGTGGACCTGGAGATGTTCCCTCCTGTAGCAGTGGGATCGTGCTGCCCCTGGCTCCCCGGGGACGCGGCGGCTCCTGCGGCAACCTCCCGGCGTGGGTGACGGCGCGGCTGGGAGGTGAAGGTCGGTGCAGGGATGCTTTGA